AGCGTCCTTTCGGCTTTGGCCCAACCACTTCATTAGCACTGGGGCTACTTGTACTTGTCCTCCGCTCTTTCTCAGTAACATGTTGGATGCCTTCTGACCTTAGGGTCCCATCTTCCAGCATCATATCTTTTAGCCTTTTGTTTCTGTCCATGGCGTTGTTTTTCTTTTTTGTTTTGACAAAGATATTGGAGTGGCTTGCCAGTTCCTGCTCCAGGTGGCTTGTGTTTAGTCTGAACTCTCCTCTATGACCTATCTGTCTTGCGTGTCCCTGCATGACATAGCCCATAGCTTCTCTGAATTACTTAAGCCCCTTCGCCACGACAATGCAGCAATGCATGAAGGAGATAGGACTCTGCAAATTCTGTTGTGCTAGTTCTTTTCAGAGATTGAGTGAAATTCTGCTTGTTTACAGGGCTCTGTTAACACAGGGCTCTTTTCCAGCGCATTGACCTCTCTGTTTAGATGAATGAAAAAAGAGCAGGGGCAGTTGAAAGAAAAGTAAACACACTCAGATTCTGTCTTTCTTGGCTGACCCACTTGTTGGAATTAATGTATTTTGGGGGGGTTTTCAGATGGTACTTCACTGTAATACACAAGCCTTCTAAATGAGATTGCTTGGTGCGCTGGCACCTTCCTCCTAGTCTTTTATCTGTGCTGGCAACACACACCAGACAATAAGTCTGCTTCTGCAGGCTCACTATAGGTGAGGCCTAAGTGAGAAATTGCTTTAAAACAGAAACTGTTAAGTGGTTTTGATGTCACCTCTTGGATTAAAAGGATCTGGCAGTTAGCCCTCACTGACAAACTAACAAATAAAATAAGAATATTAACAGCTACACTTCAAAAAGATAAATTCAAAGATGTTTACCTTTCATTTATTCAGTGTGTGAGTACAGACAGAACAAGTCTTAGCCCTCTAACCAGCTTTTTTGGGGAGGACCCATTCTGAAAACTAAAGACTTCATTTGCTCTTCAGGCACCAGGCTGGCTACATTTTCAGTGAGAACGGGTGGTTTTGCTTAACATAATTACTGCCCAACTGTTTATTTATTTTATTTATTCAGTTTGTATCCCACTTCCATTAGTACCAAAGCAGTAATTTGGGTGATTACAGTGTGTATAATAGGGAACAGAAATAAAGATAAAAACATTAAAAGCAACAATAACCCTAAGAACAGATGGCACAGACTAATTGTATAGAACCACAGTAGAAGGGGGGAAAGGAGCGGGGAAGGTAGTCGGCTAAGGTTGTTGTGGAAAACCTCCCAATTATGCCTGACATTGTATGTTTAGTTGCTCCAATTTGTGTATCTTTTCCAATAAATAAAACATTTTTAAAGAAGAGCTTTGCAAGTCTGCTGCAAGAATGGCAGACAATTGCATGCTTCTTAAAGACTAACAAGCATATATAGAAAAGCTTCTAGAAATTCATTTTATGTTGCAACCCATAAACAAATAAAGAACAAAAACAAATCATATGTAAATATTAAAAATAAAATCACACTATAAAACTTTTCCTCTACCTTAGACAGACCGAAGCAAGTAGTAACTCAGTTTGAAACTACTAAAATGGTAAGAGTGTAAGGTTTATTTAAAACGCAGATTTGTTTAAAAGGTCTGTTGGCAGATGCTTATTTCATCAAAGGTATTTGATATTTCAATAAATCATTATGAAGATAACTTCCCAAAAGTCTTTGAATACTGTATTTAGGAATCTCGAGCTGCCTGTGTTCTGCAAATTTTAGGTATCATAGTGTATCCCATGAGTTCCTATCAGGCAGCCTTTGTGTTAGTATTGTTCCTGTTTACTCATTCCCCTTTGTCTTGAATGAGACTGTTTTATGTCTCTCAGGCTTTTCGAGTGCTTTCAGAGCCCTCAAGAACATTGGAATCACCTACTAAAAACAGCCTGGATCCTCAGCGTGCATGGCGTTGTTCAACCAAGCCAGAGAAGGTGTTCTGTGGGATAAGCCGGATCTGGGTCTTCAGTCTGATGCGGAGAAAGCACATTGCCAGTCGTCTGGTGGATGTGGTCAGGTACATTTTTCAGTTTAAAAAGCTCATGAGCCTCCAGATACAGTAGTAGACTTTGGTCTTCAGATACACCTGTTTTGAGGAACAGCTCATTTCTATTTCTGTCTTGGGTTGAGGGAGGTGAGCTTACAAAAGTGCATGGAGATGCTTCTCACATGCAGACCTGGTGAACCTGACATGGTGAACCTGACACCCCATTTAACAGAATCTTGAGCTGCCTGTGTTCTGCAAATTTTAGGTATCATAGTGTGTCCCATGAGTTCCTATCAGGCAGCCTTTGTGTTAGTATTGTTCCTGTTTACTCATTCCCCTTTGTCTTGAATGAGACTGTTTTATGTCTCTCAGGCTTTTCGAGTGCTTTCAGAGCCCTCAAGAACATTGGAATCACCTACTAAAAACAGCCTGGATCCTCAGCGTGCATGGCGTTGTTCAACCAAGCCAGAGAAGGTGTTCTGTGGGATAAGCCGGATCTGGGTCTTCAGTCTGATGCGGAGAAAGCACATTGCCAGTCGTCTGGTGGATGTGGTCAGGTACATTTTTCAGTTTAAAAAGCTCATGAGCCTCCAGATACAGTAGTAGACTTTGGTCTTCAGATACACCTGTTTTGAGGAACAGCTCATTTCTATTTCTGTCTTGGGTTGAGGGAGGTGAGCTTACAAAAGTGCATGGAGATGCTTCTCATATGCAGACCTGGTGAACCTGACATGTAGGCAGCATGTTGAGATAGCTTTGGGTACCCAACCCCTCAGTGGCTAGTAATGGTAGATTCAAAGGATGAGCTCAGGACCTCTTGTTTCAGAGATTGCCTGAAGTCACAGAACCATGCCAAGTATTGAATGAGCTGACTTCCTCAGAGTTGTTAAAAAAAGTTTACATGTGAGGCAATGATGGCTGCGTTAGGCTGGATTTACCACCCCATTTAACAGACTTCTTGTGAGTAATGGTGTCACATCTGCGTTCCATACCATGCCTAATTCTCCCTCTTGCTCTCCTCTGCATGCAGACCTGGTGAACCTGACATGGTGAACCTGACACCCCATTTAACAGACTTCTTGTCAGTAATGGTGTCACATCTGCGTTCCATACAATGCCTAATTCTCCCTCTTGCTCTCCTCTGTGGCCAGTCCAAGAGGAAGATCATGCATCTCCCTGTCCTACCATGCATACAACGCTTGGTATGAATTAGGATGCTGTGTGTATACTGTTGCACAGAAGTCTCCAACCAAGCCTGCTACCCCTGCAAGAGAGGGTGGACAGATCATGTACAACATATTCAAATTTGGCGGAAGTCTTAATGGTATAGATATGTTTAAAAATAAACTCTTGGCCCCTAAGAATCTTGGGAACATGTTTGGTGATATCTGATACTCAGTGATGAAAGAACACACACTCTTCACAGGCTCTCCTGTCTTTAATTCTGCTGAATTTTGAATTTTACAATTAGTCACAAACTGAAATAAACATGTATTCAAATTTGGCGGAAGTCTTAATGGTATAGATATGTTTAAAAATAAACTCTTGGCCCCTAAGAATCTTGGGAACATGTTTGGTGATTGCTGATACTCAGTGATGAAAGAACACATACTCTTCACATGCTCTCCTGTCTTTTAATTCTGCTGAATTTTGAATTGTACAATTAGTCACAAACTGAAATAAACATGAAGAGAGGAGTGGATGTTGTGTTATGCTATTAATGTAATTTTTTTTGTTCCAGGCGGACATTCTTATTTGGTTCCTACCTAAGCACTGATGAAATCGCCTTTTCAGATCCCACACCAGATGGCAAAGTATTTGCAGCTAAGTACTGCCAAACACCCAACTTCCTTGTTTATAATTTCATCAATTAAGGCCATTTCTGTGCGTCCAGAGCTTGTCTTTTTCTCCTGCTGTTTTTTTTTTTTTAAAGACTATGGCTGAAATCTAGTAGTGAGTCTCAACTAGAATAGGCCCATTGTGGATCAATGGAACTTCGGGAGGAGCTGATACAGCAAATCCCTACTGATTAAAAGGGTCTACTCTAGTTGCAGTTTACAATCGGATGTCAGTCAGTGTGTTGCCATTCTTCTCGTATTCTGTTCTGCATTTTAATATTATACGCTAGGAAAGGCACCAAACTATATTTGTGGTATTCTAAAATGTTTAATTCTGGAAGTGAAAACTTCTGGCATTGATTGTAAGCTTTAGATTGTAAAAAAGGGGACCTGTTTAGTCCCTCTAGCTACAGCTAATACCTACTTCAGCTTTTCATATACATTGTCTTGACTGTTCCTATCTGTGCACCTTGCAGCCTGTTAAGTTTCCTCAGAGAGATGTTAAGCCAGTTGGATTTGGGCTCAAAGGTTAACTACTTAGCTAAAGTGCATTGGCTGTGTGCTGAGAAATTGGGTGAAGCCTGCTTTGCAGAGTGGGAGAGGGCAGAGTATGGGTTTTTAAAATGCTGCTATGGACGAGTTAAGTTTTTTTGCACTTGTTAATGGGATGGACAGCACTGAGGCTAGTTCTAGAACTCTGAAGTGTTGGATGTGAATCCAGAAGCTAGGTAGTCTGTGTCTATGAACCATTACAATTTTTGCACTAAACACTGTTAAGAGTCTGTTAAAATAAATATTTGTGTGTTTTAACCTGTGTTGTGTCAATTCATGTATGAGTCCATGTATTGAGTACCGTGTTTCCCCAAAAATAAGATAGTCTTGTATTAATTTTTGCTCCAAAAACACATTAGGGCTTATTTTCAAGGGATGTTTTATTTTATTCATGTACAACAATCCACATTTATTCAAATACAGTCATGTCATCTTCTGGTTCCAGCACAATGGTGGTGGGTGGGGTTTTACTTAACTGAGGCTTATTTTGGGGGTAGGGCTTATATTACGAGCATCCCAAAAATCATACTAGGGCTTATTTTCAGGTTAAGTTTTATTTTTGGGGAAACAGGGTAATAGTTCCAAGGGTGCCAAAATGATCCAGTCCAAAAAACAAAAAGATAAATACATGAGTAGACGTTGTCTAGAGGGGCCGGGTAAAAATCAAATAAATAAATAAACAAGTTTTTTTTCCCAGTATCCATGCCAGTTGTAGCCAAGTTATGGTTAAATTTTATTTCCTTCTGCTTATAAGCAGTAAACCTGTTTTTCAATTGGCCATGACTGGCCTGTTTTGAAGGTACCTAGAAAGGAGCATCTTCACAGCTGGGCATTGCATGAAGCCAAAGTGCAGAGGGACCAGTAACTATATCAATTGCTTGTAGGGAGCCTTGTCGCGCCGTGGTTAAACTGCTATACTGCAGCCAAAACTTGGTCACAACCTGGGGTTCAATCCCAGGTAGCCGGCTCAAGATTGACTCAGCCTTCTATCCTTCCGAGGTTGGTAAAATGAGTACCCAGCTTGCTGGGGGGGGGGGCAATGTGTAGCCTGCATAATTAACTTGTAAACCGCCCAGAGAGTGCTTGAAGCACAATGGAACGGTATATAAGCAGCACGCTTTGCTTTGTATACTGTACAGAGAGTATTCTTCAGTAATCACAAAACCCTCTTTCTAGGCATTGTGGTTATTTATGAACTAGAAGCAGGCTTCTGTTGAAGAATGCGTTGGTAGTTACTAGTAATGTTACCGATATTCCAAATTATAGTTTCCTAGAAAGATACAGCTGAAGTTCAATAGCCTGTTAACAGGATGCAATATATTATTGCTAGTTGTAAGAATAGGGGCACAATTTATATTTTTATTCTTAGTCTTGGGCCGTATGGGTTTGTGCTTCCTTTAATTTCATTAAGTATATGCACATGTATATAGCAATGGTATTTTATACAACTTTAATGTTGACAATGAAGAAACTGAAATAGAGATTTTGTATATCTTGGGGCAATCATCAGTTCAAATGGGAAATGAACCCAAGAAATCAGAAGACTGAGACTAGGAAGGGCATCAAGGAAGGAAATAGAAAAGATTACAAATCTTACAGTGATGTGATTTTTGCCTTCTCATGTATATAGCAATGCCATTTTATACAACTTTAATGTTGACAATGAAGAAACTGAAATAGAGATTTTGTATATCTTGGGGCAATCATCAGTTCAAATGGGAACTGAACCCAAGAAATCAGAAGACTGAGACTAGGAAGGGCATCAAGGAAGGAAATAGAAAAGATTACAAATCTTACAGTGATGTGATTTTTGCCTTCTGAATATTGTACTTCTTTACCCTTCATCAGGAATTGTTTCAAATCTTTGCTGCTTTCTGCCAGAAATATGGTATCATCTATATATCTTAAATTGAGAGAATTGAAACTTCCACCAATTTTAACTCTTTCATCTGAATCTACTCCACATTTCCATTGTATAGTTTGCATACAGAACGAACAGAGTGATAAAATACACCCTTGTCTGACACCCTTTCTAATGGAAAAATCACAAAAAGGCAACATGGTCATGGAAACAATATGGACAGGTGATACCTTTAATCAACCATTAGGAATATAAGACAAAAAACCAACAGCGAGCTTTTGATGACAAATCATCTTGAAGACTGCATCATGTTCTTGTGGGTACTTCCAAACTTATATGCTGTTGTTAAGGTCCCAAATTCACATAGCTGATGTTGAGACCAGGTTCACTTTTTAGATGGAGACAGCTGCGGTATGCAGGTTGGTTTCAAGCTTCTCATTAGCTAGCAGTTTGGAATTTATGGCCCATCTCTTAAAACAGGGGATACCTGTAGTCATCATTCTGGCCCCTCCTCTCTCTTTTTTCTGCCTTTTTGTGACTCAAAGAATTTCTTTTTGGCAAGGGGAGGGAGGAGCTTGGCCAGCCTCTAAGAGTTCGGATTAAGAATGTAGTTAAATCACTAGGAACAGTCAATTTGAAGCCAAATAAGGTTTTACCTATTTGTTGAGATTATAAATTATGTATCAGGCTGTTAAAATGTGACTCACCATTTCTTTTAGAGCAGTTCAGTTAGTGTATTCGCGAAGGCTTTCAAAGCCGGGATCTAATGGTTGTGGGTTTTTCAGGCTCTGGCTGTGTTCTGAAGGAAGAACCTTCAGAACACGGCCAAAGAGCCCGAAAAACCCACAACAACCAGTTCAGTTAGTCTTGCTGCAACTATGATAAAGCATAGACTGTTCTAGAACTCTCTGGTATAGGTAATGTATACTTGGCAATATGATCTCTAGTGCCTTTTCTCTTTCTCTGCATAGAGCACATCTTCTATATGAGCATGGGAACTTAAAGCAATATTCCTATATGTAGTTGCAGTGGCCTTTGGTATCTTTTTTTGGGAGCAACTGGAGATTAAGTACTACTTAACCATGAAATTCACTTGGGCTTTTCCTTGTCTTCAGCCTCACTTTTGTCCTTGTTGGGATGGCAAGATGAAGGAAAAACTATTTCCCCTGTCCTGAGATTCAGAGAAAAGTTGGGTATGACTGTAAGCAAGACTGAAGAATCTGCTAAAGAATGTGAGTCTCTGAGGCAGGGGCTACACCTTAAAATTCCTCCATCCTTGTGTATCTAAGCCACCTCTTTTAAAACAGCAGAGTTATCATTTCCACTGTGGTTCTCAGGTTTCCAGCTCAGCCCCACTTCTGTCCTTGTGGGGAAGGATTTTAAACATGCCAGTAATGAAAGGACATGATTTTGCACACTCAGGTTTCTAGCTCAGCCCCACTTCTTGTGGGGAAGGATTTTAAACATTCCAGTAATGAAAGGACATGATTTTGCACACTGGCTTTACTTTAATGGTTTTATCACATACACATGGCTAATCTACTTTCAGAAACCAGAAGTGCCTCGTGCTGGAAATGATGCATTTTGGGAATAACACCTGTTGCATAATTAAAATCAAGCTATCATTTAGCTCAGCCCCACTTCTTGTGGGGAAGGATTTTAAACATTCCAGTAATGAAAGGACATGATTTTGCACACTGGCTTTACTTTAATGGTTTTATCACATACACATGGCTAATCTACTTTCAGAAACCAGAAGTGCCTCGTGCTGGAAATGATGCATTTTGGGAATAACACCTGTTGCATAATTAAAATCAAGCTATCATTTTATATTGATGTAAAAAAATCTTCCTGTCCTTCCAAGAGAAATGCTGGTCGAGGTTCTCCAATACTATCTCCTTAACCAACAAGGACCTTTATAAGAAAAAACACATTAGCATCTTCAAAACTTTTTTTAAAAAGGTTTTAGTGTAACCATTCATGAATTATCAGCCACTTTTTCAGTACCATTCAATAATTCTGGAAGGCTTAACTGAAACGGTTAAACTAAAAAGTGCCACAATATATATGGCAGCCGCATTTGCTCTTGTGGCTCATTTGATTTGGCCTGTTCTCTTTGAGCAACGCCAAAATGCCTACAGGTTTTCAAAGGTTTACGTGTAAATAGGAGATATAAGGGAAGGTCGTTTGGGGCACAGCTGAAAAATGAAAGAACAAAAGCCAGGATAATCCTACAACAAGCTGTCAGTGAGTGGCTGTGTGGGATCTGAGGTCCTCCTAAATCTGTTGAGGGAGGGAAGAGCATGAACTCTGGTGAACATTTGCCCAAGAGCTCTTTCCCCATGGGAAGATTGCCAACTCCAAACACCTCAGCCACCTGTTATCTTGGGAAAACTAGAGACTTCACTCTCAAAATTCACCACCATCCTTACTTGCACGCTTGGATATTGCCTTGTTTATTGTAGAAACTCTTATACATATTTGATCTAACAAAAGACTAAAAGAAATGGAAGCTACAAGTCAAAAACAAGGCAAATATACACCACTGACCAGAACCCAACTGAGGAGTACAGGAAGAGAAAGTAATATTTGCAGTATTGAAGCATTCATCAACAGAAGGACCTCAAAATCAGCTGAAAGTCAATAGGAAAAAAAAGTGTCACTGTATACAGTACTCAGAACTATCTTTCTTATAAAGTAAATACATAGTCTGGGTGTCCCAAATAGCTCAAAACTGAGAAGTGTTAAGATCAGCCCTTTCTATAAAACTATTGACATCAGAAGGTTCACTATCTTTGTAAAAACAATTTAAAAAAATCTATATACACTCTAGACATATAGCAAGAAGAGGAGATGCTTCCCTCCCGTGGTGGTGCTACAGCAGCAGCGATGGGAGTCAGGGGCCCTTACTGGGCAGAGCCCTCTGCCTCCAAGACATCTACAATGTGTGCAGCTGCAGGACGCTTCCTTGCCTCCTCCATGGTGCAGAGAGAGAACAGCTCGATGGCCTTCTGATACGATGGGCCCAGCTCCTCCACATTGAGGGGAGGCCGGGTCCCCAGGGCTGCATAGTAAGCGTCCTCATCAAAGTCATCTTCATCGAAGGAGGCATCTGGAAAGACATTGCCAATGGCTCAGGTGTCATTTCTATTTCATTTCTATGCTGCATCAACCTGAAATGGCTTGGGCTACAACAAAGTGCTTCAAATCCCGCAGCCCGTCGCTCCCCAGCTCGGCTCAAGAGAAAGCTAGTTCCACCGGTCACGGCTCAACCGGCCCAAGAGGAATCCCCACCAGACGCACCTTCCGCAGACTCTTCATCATCCCCAGGCAGGTTGAGATGGGGCACAGACAGTGTCATCATTTCCCACAGAGTTAGCCCAAACGCAAAGATGTCAGCCTTGTCAGTGATGAGGCCACCTTCCTCCAAAGCTTCTTTGGGTGTCCAGGGTTCTGTGCCAACATAAACTGCTTCTGGGGCACTCACTGTTGTTTAAAAAAGAAAACCCAAAAATGGTGACATTATCATTCAGGAAAGCACAGAGACTGAGCCAGTGGAGAGGGTTGCTTCCTCTTTCAAAAGCTCTAATTAGTAACCAATGAAGCACTAGGACAGTGGAACCCATGACCTCTGGAGGTGGTTGAGCACTCCAGCACCACAGGCCTTCAAGAGAAAACAGGACCACCCTCAGTCAGATCTGCTTTGACTTAGATTCCTGCCTTGAGCAGGGAGCTGGACTCAGAGGTCCCTTCCATTATTCTAGGATTCTGTGAAAGGGCACCTGAGGAAACCTTGGCAGTTTAGGGGTGGGGAGAGCCGAGTGTGATTTCTCGTCAACAGGAGGGGCCCAACTGTCCTCACCTATGGTATCTTTTGCACTAGGCACAGAATCCAGTTTTGCTTGTGTCCAGAACTGGTGTCAGACGATGGGTGCTTTGCTTTAAAGCAACCAACCAAGCAGAGCATACACAGCATCTCATTGCTTTTGCTTTCCTACTGAAGCATGTTGGGGAAAGGAACTGGAAAAAACAATTCTTGGGCACAAAGAAGTAGATTTCGAAGACATAGCTGCCTTCGTCTCTGCAAGCTTATCAGACAAGAAAAGCAGCTCTCTAAAGGAAGGAAATGGACTTGATCAAGAAAAGCCCACCTTAAGATACTTCAAAATCTTTAAAACGCCACCATATTTTTGTCTCACCTTGTTTGTCCGATAGTCACAAATAAAACTTTCGTGCTTTGACAGTGAATCCTGCCTTGTGTAGCAAGAAAGAAAAGGCGACACCCACTGGAGTTAAAAATGGGGGCAATTAAGTCTTCCCTCTCCCACAATACACAGAACTTTCCACTTTCCTGTCTTGGAAAAGCAGTAGAGTTTTGAACTCCTCGTAGAAATAAAGGCACGTCCCGAGTTCAACACACCTGTCATATTCTCATCCAGAGGTAGCGAAACACCCACGTCGCAGATCTTTATTGACTCAAAGTCACCTTTAATGACAACGTTGGAAGATTTGATGTCCCCATGAAGCAATTTTTTGTCATTGTGGAGATACTGAAAGTCAGAGGAGAGAAGAGGTCAGGGGTGGGGGAGTCTTGGTCCCCATGAAATCTGGACAAAGAGGATGTTTTGAAATGTGTGGATTTTTATGCAGTGTAACCGATCATCAAGAACTCCCTCAGAAGGCCAGGCCCTCTTAAGACCGAGAAGAGAGAGACTCATAAAATCCTGCCACATACATAGCACATGACCCTTGAGAGCTCTTTCTAAGTAGAAATGACAAGGCCCAAAGTTTAAAAGCGGTGTGTGTGTGTCTATGTCCTGCAATGTGAGCAAGCGAGAGCGGGCGGATGGGGCCCGCAAGTCATGTCAGGGAGTTGACACAGAGACAGCCTTTATCTTTGTCCCTCCCTGTCCCTCCTTTCCCATTGATATGCCTGTCTGCGTGTTCCTCTACAGTCTCATGCTGCATCAGTGCCTTGGATCACAGATCCAGTTTCACTTCTCGCATTCTAGGAAAACTAGTATTCTTTTCCTGGCCTCCCACATCTAGTTGCCCATGGAGAACCACTCAGGCGCCACGGATCTCTCCTGAGACCCCCTCAACTTGCCTGCCTCTTCCCCAAGCACCAGTCAATCACCTGCATCCGGCAGCTGCCTTTCTGAGGTGAGGATGCTCCACCTCTTGCCAGGCTGAGATAACCAGGAGCCCCATATCATGAGTTGCATGCACTAAATAGATGTGGAGCTCTAGATACTGTCTTGATTCACGATTCCTGGCTTTGTGGCATCAGCACAACACCAGAAGCAGCAAACCCCCCCCCCCACACACCTTCGACCAGCTCAATAAGGACAACCTGCTCAGCTGCTACGTCTTAGTTGAGCTTCCATTTTCCCATCCCACGGGCATCCTCTTTCTCACAGCACTGCTAGTAAGCTTATGAATATTACTGATAATGGAGGCACAGCCTACCTTCAACCCCCTTGCCATGTGCAAGGCCACTTTGAGGATAGTGGCGGCCGGAAAGGGGCCCTGGTGTTTCTCATTCCTTTCTTCGATGAGGTCATTGAGAGACTTTGCTCCCCCATATTCCATGGCAAGGCACATGCTGCCATCTTTGGCTTCAGCGAACGCACGATAGCCTGAAACACACACACACACAGAGCAGAGGCTAGGACAGTGACAAAAATCATTCACACCTTTATCAAGCAGGAACTATACTCTTTCTATACAATGTTTCAGGAAGCTATCTTTCATTAGAAACAACTTTCTTCAAAGTTTCAATTTATCAAGACAAGATACAATGTAATAGAAAGCACATTTGTATGTTTATACGTGTGTGTGAGTGTGTGTGTGTGTACACACGTACATGTATACAGACTCTCCACCAGGAAAGCAAGAACCCTTAGAGAACAGACTGAAATATTACCAAAGTACACTAGAAGTGGTATTAAGTATTACTCCACGAGAGCTCACACAGCAATTGTAGGCTTCCATGCTTATACCGTATCAAAAGACTTTGCTTTTAGTTTTTTTATATACATACTGAACCAGAGCATCATGGCTACCTCTCTGAAAGCCACTCTGGTCCATGGAAGCATGAGTGAAGCACCGTTTACTAGCTTTCCAGGCATCACAATATTATTTTTGTTCTCCTTTTATGTGTCTGTATAGCAGTTTGAGGTTTATCTAGGGATAACTCAGAGAGAAACTTTGGAATGTCAGCCTACAAGAGCCGGCCTGTGGGAGTCCAAAGAAAGCATTCCCCTTTCCCAATCAAACGTACCCACAATATTTGGGTGCTGAAGGGTTCTTAGAATGTTGGCTTCTTCGTTCAGTCGCTTTTGGTACGTGCTTCGCCGGAAAGAGTCACATTGGGGGTTTATTTTCTTCACAGCCCAGGGAGAGCGGGAGACCCCTTTGGGAGACCTAGAAAAAAAGCACCCTGAGTTGGAGACGGGGCTTTGGACAAATCACGTTGAAAGGAGCGCATGAACCCCCCCCCTGTCTCTCCCCCCCCCCCCCCAAGTTTTGGAATGGTTTTGGCAGCAGATCAGCCATTTCAATCTGAGCCTATGTTACTGTCATGAAATTGAAGAAACTGTGTTTCTCCTCTCCCCACCCATCAGAAAACATACATATTGACTGACAGAGAGAGCCCTACACCACAAGCAAGAATCCCCAGCAAGTGAGCCAAATGACGTGAAAACATAACCTATCCCACCAGTTAGTGTGATCTCGGAATAATTCCAAATGGTGCCCCGCATAGCGACAATAATCCATTCCAGAAAAATCGTTGCTATACGGATTTGTCTCTATGCGGAACAAAAAAGCCCATAGGAATGCATTAAAACATGTTTAATGCGTTCCTATGGGCAAAAAACTCACCGTTCTGCGAAAATCCTTGATACGGCCGCCATTTTCGCTGCCTGGTAAGCGAGGAATGGGTGCGAAAACACTGCGGGCGGCCATTTTTTTTAACCCGGTGGCCATTTTGAAACCACCGATCAGCTGTTAGGAAAACATCGCTATGCGAAAATCGGTAAGCGAAACAGCTTACCGTTCATCGCAAAGCAATGTTTTGACATTTAAAACACAATGCGATCGCAAAAACCACATCGCTATGCAGATTCGTCGTTAAACGGGGCGCCCGTTATGTGGGGCACCACTGTATATCCCAACATGGCAGTCAATGAAATCCCTCCATAAACCACCTATTCTTTCTCGTTCCTGCCAATGTTTCTGAAAATAAACCAACTTAATCTCAACTTTACTGCAACAAGTATATGAGCTTTTAAAGCTGACCTACCTTTTCATAAGGTAGACGTTGACTCCAGTTCCGTATCCAAGCTTCTGCATAAAGGGAGAGGCTGGAATAGTTATCAAGGGTGAAGGGCAACCTTGTCCTGAGGAGTAAAAATAGAACGGGCTATTTATGCTTTCAGTGTGTGATCACCAGGTTTTTGTGACCAGAACTTGAAGATTGATTTTTTTTCAGCCTGTTAGCTGCAGCTCTCCTAGAGTTCTAGACGAACATGGCCAACGATGCACTGTGTTTTCCATACAGAATAACAAGAGAACACCGTGGCCCCATTTGGTCTTTCGCCTGATTTGTCAGACAGAACATTTGCAAGGTAAGACCTCATTAGAATCTCTCAAGGTAAACACTGCACTGCCTCCCCATAGCTCCTCAAGACCAGAAACAAAAGTTTGTGTACTATGTTTTCAGAATATTTTTACCCCGCTTTCCTCCTTAAAAAGGACCCAAGGCAGCGCACATTATTAAAATACAATATTTAAAGCTAAACAATGAATATACAAGGATGACTTACATCACTTAAAAGGTTATATGGTTTGCCCACTGCACGGAAACTTAGAACCACACATTGCTTCTTCACCTTTCAATACAAGACCCACTGGCGGCAGGGGGCCAAGTAACATGTCTGAACAAGATGCCCTTTACTGAGGAGGCGGCTTACTTAGAAAAGATATATTTATGTCCAAGTCCACGTCCTCCACCACTGCTACCATGGCCTTGCCCAAGAAGTGAATGCCACATCTTGACTGAGCTCAGTCTCACCTGATTTCGTTCCGTCAGAGGACTTGCTGGGAGTCTTGAAGGCAGGGGCTGAAGCCATAATGGAGAACTAGTCTATCAACAGAGACAAAAGGAGAGAGGATTGGCCGCCTTTAGAACCCGGTGCCCCAATTCTAGGATCGTTCCAAGGACCAAGGATTTCTTCAGGGGCAAGCTCGGCATGGGAGGGCACGTTGAGGGTGTCCGGTGTGACACACGA